TATTTATCATCTTTAACAAGATGTCACCTACTTTTCCAACACCCAACCAGTACTGGCATTCAATAAGCTGACCAAAAAAATAGATGGAAACCCAAGTCTAATATACATTTGAAGAAGAGTTGATATTAGAGCTGATATTATGCATGCTCACTTAGATTAGCGATAACTTCAAGAAAGAAAACTTGCTGCATTCCCACGCACGCTAAACTCACAGGCTGGTGAGTGCTGTGAGCTGAGACATGTCGTCATTCAGCAATCGTCCATGCCGGCGTCGTGAATCGGACATTTCCAGGTTTCTGCGCATGAGAGATGGCCAGCAGGAGTTGCCGAACTGAGACAAGCGCATTCATGGCCATGGCACATGTGGTTCCCTCATGCCTCATGGGGCATACGGTGTGTGGCACTGGTGAAGGACGAGAGCATAGTAGGAGGACCTTACAAATAATGAAGGTTGGTGAGTTGAGTGACCCAATATGGAAACTCCTCGGCAGGAAGGAAGGATAGATCCCTGCAGGGAGGAAAGCAAGAGCATGTCACACAAACAAGTCAATAGAGCTGCACTTGTGTCTGGCGAGGGGATGGAGAAGTGTAAAACTTGCACAAGAGCAAGCTTGCTCAATCTGCCCCATTTTTGGACTTAGTGCTGCTTACAGTGTGGTGAGGGCAGTCAGATATTGATGTGAAGATTGTGAATTGAACAAGTTATTAGATTAGAGGAACAACCTAGCATACATAGTTGGAAGGGAAGGTTGGAAGGGAAGGATGAAAGTGACCATAGGTTGGGTTGACCTCACTTGCGGAAGTGAGGGAACCATAGGTCAAGTGGGTTGGGTTGCCCACACTTTGTAGAAGTGAGGCAACCCTAGGCCCACTTGGCTTGGGGTAACCTCAATTGTGGGAAGTGAGGTACCCACAAGTCAAGAGGGTTGCATTTGGGGGCTCCACCACAATTGGGTGGATTGGCACCCCAAAGTGCAAGACTACACCCAAAGTTGGGTGTAGTCCCAACCCAACTGTACACCACAATTGGTGTACAGTCACATGTGTTGGCATGCTACACAATATATATTTTAACACAACCCCTTAGCATGCTAACACAAGAAGAGAACAACCCCTGAATCAAGGGGCGCCCGGGCGAGCAAGGCCAATGAGGCGGAGGAAGGCAGAGTGCGCGGGGCGAAGGAGGGCCTTAGTGAAGATGTCGGCCAAGTTGGCCTCGGTTGCAAACTTGCGAACGGCAATGAGGCCCTTCTGGACGAGCTCGCGAACGAAGAAGTAGCGGAGTTCGATGTGCTTGGAGCGGGCGTGATAGACGGGGTCCTGAGTGAGATGGATGGTGCTGGCGTTGTCGCACCAGAGAGTGGGGCACGTCTGGGGGGCGCCAAGCTCCGCAAGAAGGAAGCAGAGCCAGCGCGACTCCTGGGCGGCCATGGTGCCAGCGTAGAGCTCGGCTTCGCAGGTGGAGAGAGAGATGGCGGAGGAGCGGGTGGAGCGCCAGCTGATGAGGCCGCTGCCAAGGGTGAAGCCGTAGCCCTGGGAGGAGCGGCGGTCCGGCTGCGTGTCAGCCCATGAGGAGTCACTGAAGCCCGAGAGAAGGGGACGGGAAGGGCCGCCGAGGGTGAGGGCAAGGTCCCTGGTCCCGCGAAGGTAGCGGAGGACCCGCTTGGCAGCTTTCCAGTGCTCCTCAGAGTGACGACCGGTGCCGACAAAGCGAGCGAGCACGCTGATGGGGTAGGCGAGGTCGGGGCGGGTGCACATCATTGCGTACATCAAGGACCCAACGAGCTCGGCATAGGGGTGGGGGGAGGAGGTGGGGGAGGTGGGTGGAGCGAGTTGGTGACCGAAGGGGAGCGGGGTGGAAACAGGCTTGGCTTGCGCCATGTCGAACTTCTCCAAGACCTGGCCGATGTAATGGGACTGTGAGAGGGTGATTGTGCGAGCAGGGCGGTTGCGCGTGATGGTCATGCCGAGGTAGTGAGTGAGGGCGCCAAGGTCTTTGCACTTGAGCCGCTGCTGCAGGGACAGCTTCACCTGCCCCATGTCGGCCTTGGTGTCAGAGAGCAGGATCATGTCGTCGACATATACCAGAATGAAGAAGCGGCGGGGGGAGGAGCGGATGAAGAGGCTGGCGTCGGAGTGGGAAGCAGAGAAGCCGAGGGACCCCAAGGTGGCAGCCAGCTTCGCATGCCACTCACGCGGTGCCTGCTTCAAGCCGTAGACGGGGCGACGCAGCTGCCAGACAGTGTTCTCAGGAAAGGCTGCGTGGAACCCGGGGGGTCGCCGGAGGAAAATGCGCTCATGCAGGTCGCCCTGCAGGAACGCATTGGAGACGTCCATGGAGTCGATTTCCATGTCGTCACGTGCACCAATGTCCATGGCGGCGCGAAGGGTGGGTGGTTTGGCGGTGGGGGCGTAGGTGAACCAGTAGTCCTCAGCCCAAGTCTGCGTGAACCCCTTGGCGCAGTAGCGGGCCTTGTACACTGGTTCCTCGCCCGGCAGCTGCTTCACCCGAAAGACCCATTTGCCGTCAACGAGATTAGCGCCAGCAGGGAGGGGGACATCGACAAAGGAGTCGTTGCGAATGAAAGCCTCACACTCCAGGAAGATCGCTGCTATCCATTTATCCGCATCAGGGCAGGTGATGGCTTCCTGGAAGGTGGAGGGAGTGAAGATGGTGGGGGTAGTAGTGGCGCCAAGGACAGGAAAGCCCAGGAAGTCAAGGTAGAGGGCGGCAAGGAATGGAGTGTGCTCCCGAATGTTAAGAAACTCCTCATGGGAGTCCTCAAGGAGCTGAATGGAGGCAGGAGGAGGAGCCCCAAGGATTTTGTCCACAGAGCGGGTATGGATGTAAGGGAGGAGGAAGGGGGAGGAACGGGAAGTGGCACGACGCCGCTGCTGCTGCTGGTGCTGCGGAAGCTGCTGCCCTTGTTGCTGCGGCTGCGGCTGACCGTGCTGGTGCTGCGGCTGCTGAGGCTGCTGAGGCTGCTGCTGCTGCCGCTGCTGCTGCTGCTGCTGCTGCTGCTGCTGCTGCTGTCCCGGCTGCCGCTGCTGCTGCTGCTGCTGGCCCGGCTGCTGCTGCTGCTGCTGGCCCGGCTGCTGCTGCTGCTGCTGGCCCGGCTGCTGCTGCTGCTGCTGCCCCGGCTGCTGTCCCGGCTGCTGCTGCTGCTGCTGTTGCTGCTGCGGCTGCTGCTGCTGCTGCTGCTGCTGCTGATCCGGCTGCTGGAAGGAGGGAGAGGGAGAGGAGGAGGGAGGGGGGGGGAGGGGGTGCGGCCGAGTGAGCGGGGGAAGCGGGTGCGGCAGGGTCGTAGACATCGGCGGAGGAGGAGGGCGGGAGCGGAGCTGCGACGGGTGGGAGGAGAGGGGCTGGAGGGAGAAGGGGCGGGAGGACGGTGTCGGTCCAAGCAAGGGGACGAGTGGGAGGAGGGAGAGGATCAGGGGGAGGAGTGGAGTAATAGGGGACGGATTCGTCGAAGACGACGTCGCCGCTGCGGATGAGGCGATTGGTGGGAGGGTGGAGGAAGAGGTAGCCTGGGGAGTCGCGATTGTGCCCAAAGTAAACGCATTCCAGGGCGCGAGGAGCAAGCTTGCCAGCGGCGCGGGAGCGGTCGGCGGGTGGGATGAGAACGAAGGCCTTGCAGCCCCAAACGCGAAGGCCGGCAGCGTCGGGTTTGGCGTTGGACCAAAGCTCTGTAGGGGAGGAGGAAGGATGCTGAGGGTGGGAGCGGAGATTAAGGAGAAGAGCGGCGTGGAGGAGGGCATAGCTCCAGAGGGAAGGAGGGGTGGAGGCATGAGCAATGAGACAGCGAGCTATCTTGGTGATCTCACGAATGCGGCTCTCAGCAATGCCGTTCTGCTGAGGGGAGTGGGGAAGGGTGGAGGTCTGTTGGATGCCGTAGGTGTTGCAGTATGTGGCAAGGGTGTTATTGATGAACTCACCCCCACCGTCAGAGTGAAGGCGGCCGATGGGGCGTTTGAAGTGATTGCGGCACTGTTCGGCCCAGTTGATGACCACTGCCGGCACCTGGTCTTTCGTGTGAAGGAAGAAGGTGGTGGAGTACCGGCTGTGGTCGTCAACGAGGACGAGCATGTACCGATGCCCCTGGCGGGAGCGGATGGGATAGGGGCCCCAGAGGTCCATGTGCACAAGGTCAATGGGGGCGGCGGCGAAGGTGGGATGACTGTGGTGGGGGGACTGTTTGAGCTTGCCGTGAATGCATGAAGGGCATGGGGGAGAGGGGGAGGAGGGGAGGGGAGGTAAAACAGGAGGAAGGCTGCGGAGGAGGCGAGAGGTGACTGTGGTGCGAAGGGCGGTGAAGTTGGGATGGCCGAGTCTGTGGTATAAGAGGACAGCAGGGTGGGAGAGGGTAGTGGAGGAGGAGGGAGATGGGGTGATGGAAGGAACGGGAGGGGAGGAGGAGGATGGTGGGGAGGGAGAAGAGGATACTTGAGGGGGAGGGGAAGGGGGAAGTAAAGGAGGAGGAGGTGGACCGGTGGAAGCACCGGAACGAGTGGTGACGTGGCAGAAGGATGGGCGAGGCGTGCGGAGTGTGTAGAGGCGAGTGCGGGGGCAAAGCGGAATGCGGAGAAGGAAGCGACCGGAGGAGGTTTGGTAGAGATCACAGTAATTGGCATAACCGGGGTAAATGGCAGTGATACCAACACCTTGGAGCTCACGGTGGGAGAGGAGGTTGTTGCGGAGAGTGGGGATGTGGAGACCTGTGACCTTACCGGAGGGGAAGGCAGTGCAAGGGAGGGTGGAGAGGTGAGTGCATGGAATGGAAAAGCTGGAATCAGCCCCATGAACCTGAGTGGGAAGTGGTAGTGGGGTGAGAGTGCCAGCGTCTTTCAGTGCGGTTTCAGTGGCTCCACTGTCAAGGACAAAGTCCAGGGTGGGAGAAGAGGGAGGAGGGGGTGGGACGGGGTACTGAAACGAAGTCTCATTGATAGCAGAGGGATACATGGCAGCGACGGACGGTGCAACACTGATATTACCAAGGAAACTACCAGAAGTGTCGGGAACACTGGGGGGGGCAGAGGGGAGGGAACCCCAGGGGGGAGGAGGAGGAAGGGAGGTATGAGCGGCCATGGCCGCTGTGCCGAAGGTGAGTGGCTGCTGCTGCCAGGGTGGGGGAAGGAACTGCTGCTGCTGCTGCGGCGGTGGCTGGAAGAACTGCGGCGGCGGCGGCTGCTGGGGCTGGAGAAACTGCGGCTGCTGCTGCTGCTGGTGGAAGTACAGGTGCTGCTGCTGCTGGTGCTACTGAAACTGCTGCAGCTGTGAGGGTGGGGAGGGGGTAACCATGCGGAGGTGAGCAGGAAGGAAAGAGGGGAGGGTTTGAATGTCCACTAAGGAGGGGCGAGGTGTGACCGAGTTCCAGCGAGGAGGGGTGCCAGTGTTGCCGCGATCAAACCAGGCGTCGTCGAGTGCCTTAAAGCACGTGGTGGGGGGATGGGTGGTCTGGCCGCAAGGGGTACCTGCATGGGGACCATGGCGACGCACATATGTGCATGGGGGGAGAGTGCCAGGGCGTCCGCCTCGAGTCACAGCACCTCCAGCAGGGGCGCTGCCAGCACCACCACCACCGCCACCACGGCCACCACGGCCACCACTACCACCACCGCCACCACCACGGCCTCCACCACCACCACCGCCACCCGCTCCACGGCCTCCGCCGCCGCCGCTGCGACCACCCTGGTTGCGCGGCTGCGTAGCGTTGAGGGAGGTGGAGGAGGAGGACTGAGAGGTGGTAAGGTTGACAACGAGGGTGCGGAGCTTGACCTCCGTGTCAATGATCCACTGGACCACGTCGTCGAGGCCGGCCATGGGGTTGGCCTCAGTGAAGGCATGGAGGCGGGACTCGTCCGGGGTGAGGTTGTAGAGGAGGCAGTGGATTTGCAGGGGCTCGGGGAGGGCAGCTTGGCGTGCCGCAAGGCGATCAGCGACCTCCTGCATGCACCCCACGTAGTCAACTGCGCCATCACAAGTGGCGAGGGTGATGGAGAAGTACTCCTGGAACAGGGCGCCGACAGAGCTGATGTCGCGACGCTCGAACATGGCCTTGAGCTCGGCCCAGATGAGGGAGGCGCGCATCTCGCGAGCTTGGAAACGGCGCATGAGGGTATCAGGGAGTGCGCCGAGGAGGATGGTGCAGGCGCGGTTGTCAGCAGTGGCCCATGCGATGCTCCGAGGGAGGTAGTCCGCCATGGCCGTATTGTACTCATCAAGGAGCGCCAGGCGATTGGCGCGTTCCGCTACCGCGAAGTCGTGGGTATGTACCGCAACCTCATGCTCCGCCTTGCGGATGAGGTATTCGCGGCGATCGTGGAGAAATGCGGCATCGGCGGCATCTTGGAGCGCTGGGGAAGTGGCGATCTCCAAGGTGGGTTCAGGAGGAGGAGGACCAGGAGGAATGGGGGGTGGAGGGGGTTCGCCGGGGTGATTGGGTGCCGTGGGCTGGAGGGCTTGCGGGCGGCGGAGGAGGACGTCAAGGACGCAGTAGGGTCCGACGAATGCATCTTGGAGAACACGGCGGATGCTCCCGACGAAGGAATGCCAGTTGATCGCCGAGCGGTCCGCGGCAAGCTGAAGCTTGTCGACGGAGGAGGCGTCAATGGGAGGGGGGAGAGGGGGAGGAGTGGTAGCCATGAGGGGCGACGGCGGGTGGACCCGCGGCGGCCTCGAGGTGGACGGCGGCGGGTGGACCCGCGGCGGTCAAGTGGGAGGGCGACGGCGGGTGGACCCGCGGCAGCCGAGAGGGAGGAGGGGGGGGGGGGGGGGAGGGGGGGGGGAGGGGGGGGGGGAGGGGGGGGGGAGGGGGGGGGGGGGGGCTGCTGCGGGGAGTGGAGTTCTTCTCCGGCTGCTGCTGCTGCTGCCGCTGCTGCCGCTGCTGCCGCTGCTGCCGCTGCTGCCGCTGCTGCTGCTGAGAGGGAGGAGGGGGGGGGGGGAGGGGAGGAGGGGGAGGAAGATGGTGGATGCAGCTGCTGCCGCTGCTATCGCTGCTCCTGATGCTGCCGCTGCTGCCGCTGTTGCTGCTGTGGCTGCTGAGCTGTCCCGGCTGCTGCTGCGTGGGAGGAGAGGAGGAGGAAAGGGGGAGGGGGAGGGAGAACGCAGTGTTAGGGTTGGTTCGCCCAACCACGGAACCTACGGCGAAAGCTTCTACGACGGCGGAATGACGGCGAAATGGAAGCACGTGGATGATTCTAGGTGAAACGGTGGAAATCGGCCTACGGTGGATATTGGAAGCTACGGCGTGAGAAGCGGGAGAGAGATCGGGAAGATACTAGAGAAATGGAGGAGAAGAGTAGAGAAGTATCGAGAATGAGATCGACGGGGGAAACTGTGGTACGAACTCGAGGCGTGTTCGAGAAGGTTCCAGATTCGGACTTGAGGAGTGTTCGGTGCATTCAGTTCGGTTCCGTGTGCGACTCGGGGTGAAACGAGGCGCACGGGGTTACTTGGGAAACAAGTGAAGTTACGAATCGCATTTTGTGTCTTGCCTGACCATAAAACTGCTTGTACTCTTTCTGGAAATCACAACATTGGACAACTTGGAGATTCTGAAAATTGCTGAAGTGTGTATTGACAACTTCAAGCAGAGCTGCGCATATCATTGGATTCGTGAGATCGTGGAGAACACGATAAGCAATAGCAAGTAGACTATTGCCGACTAAGGTGTTTACGATCCTAAGAACTGGTATCAGAGCTTGGCGAACGGGCGCGTCGATCGCGGTGAATTCACTTGGTGCGCTAAGTGAAATTAGTGGAGAAGAGGAGTCGTTCACGCCTACGCCATGGGAGACGAGGCGAGTTCAGGTTCCAGTGTGAGTCTTGGAGACCCGCAGTTGAAGGCTCTTCTCGAGGCCCTTGCGAGTGGCCGATTGGTGGCGAAACCGACGATCGGGCTCAGTGAAGCCCAGCGCTTCAACGGAAGCAACTACAACGTGTGGCGGAAGAAGTTTATTCGGAGGGCAGAGGAGGTTGACCTCTTGCCGTACTACCGTCCCGACGAGGAGACGATGGAGGGAGTTGCGCCATCCCCGACGGATACGAAGGAGAAAATAGCGGCGTTCAAAAAACAAAGTAAGCAAGCGTTCTTTCAGCTTTGTCACTCAGTTGCCGATGGAATCGCGGTGGATTTGGACCAGTTTGCAGGGGAGCTGAACTCTGCACAGAAAGCGTGGGAGTACCTGGAGTCCACGTACATGGGCACGAACGATGTCAACAAGAAGGCGATTAGGAAGCAACTGCTGATGCTGAGCATGGAGAAAGGCGAGAAAATCATCACCTACATCAACAGGGCGAAAAACTACAACGACGACTTGCGGGTGATGGGAGCCGCGGAGACGGAGCAGGAGATGATTGACTGTATCATCCAAGGCCTTCCTAAGGAGTGGGAATCCGACATCGGTATGTTTACGTACCAACCGCCGGAGAGTTTGACGAAGCTGCAGGAGATTCTACAGTCGCTTGAGACGGTGAAGGAGATGAGGAAAAAGAAAGCGGCAGCAGCAGCTACGGATTTCGACGAGGAGAGGCCGGCTTTGGTGAATGCAACGAAGGCGTTTGGAGCGTGCTACCAGTGTGGAAAGAGGGGGCATAAGGCGATAAACTGCTACGAAAATCCGCGAAGCAGAAACTACAAGGGCAAAGCGGTGGAGAACGAGAAAGGAGAAAATGGGGGAGCAGAGTGGCAACAGAAACGAGGTTTTGGCGGCAAGTGCGATTATTGTGGGCGCTATGGGCATCGTGCCGCAGAGTGCTACTCCAATCCGAACAGCAGGAGCTACAAGGGTCCGTCGCAGCAGAGGATTGTGGCGGGTAAGGCGAATGTAGCGGAAGCCGAAAAGGAGGATGTGATTTTGGGAGGAGCGCATCGTGCGAACGTGGTGCGTTTACCGAAGGATGTTCGTCAGACGGACGGACGTGAGAAGACGGCATGGTTCATGGACAGCGGATGCACGCGTCACATGACATTCAGGTCAGATTGGATGGAGAACGTGAGGGAGTCGAGTGAGCGTTATATACTGCAAGGTAACAGTGGGAAGTTACCAGTGACAGGAGAGGGTGACGTGGTGCTGCAAAGTCCGTATGGAGAGGTGAAACTGGAGAATGTGCTCTTGGTTGAGGATTTGAAGGTGAATTTGATGAGTCAGTCACAGCTTGATGACTTGGGGTGCAAGATATTTTATGACAAAGGCGAGGTTACAGTGTTTGGTCCTGAGTGGGAGAAGTATGCCGATGGATACTTCAGTGACGGGTTCTATGAGATGAACTTGATAGCGATGAACGACAAGGATGAGATCTATGAGGATCCTGAGTCTACTGAGGTTGATGAGAGCGAGGACACGGATGATAGGGGAGCGAGTGTGGAGGCAGCAGTGAAGCAGGAAGAAGAGATAGTCACCATGGAGGCAGCAGCGGTGAATGATGGAGATGGAGATGGTGTCAACACTTTTGCAGCAGCGGTCGTGGTTAAAGATGAAGCAGTAAATGCGAAGTGTGTGGGAGTTGAAGCTGTGAAAGGGGGCATCATGGTGAAGGGATCAACGGCGAATGCAACTGCAAAGGGGCGAGTGCTTATGAAAGAGGAACACGTTGAGGGGTACAAGACCCGAGAGGTGTTGGGTGCTAAGATTCCGAGGAGAAGCGAGAGGCTTAAGAAGATGCCTCATGGTTTGGATATCAAGGCGCTCAACTTCAAGACACGTAAGCAGAGGTTCAAGGTGCAGGAGCTGCAGGGGAGCGTGAAGCCGACTTAGACCCTGTGAATGCTACAAGGAGCAGGAAAGCAGTGCGAGTGGTGTTCGTGGTTGACGAACCACAGGGGAGATTGTTAGGGTTGGTTCGCCCAACCACGGAACCTACGGCGAAAGCTTCTACGACGGCGGAATGACGGCGAAATGGAAGCACGTGGATGATTCTAGGTGAAACGGTGGAAATCGGCCTACGGTGGATATTGGAAGCTACGGCGTGAGAAGCGGGAGAGAGATCGGGAAGATACTAGAGAAATGGAGGAGAAGAGTAGAGAAGTATCGAGAATGAGATCGACGGGGGAAACTGTGGTACGAGCTCGAGGCGTGTTCGAGAAGGTTCCAGATTCGGACTTGAGGAGTGTTCGGTGCATTCAGTTCGGTTCCGTGTGCGACTCGGGGTGAAACGAGGCGCACGGGGTTACTTGGGAAACAAGTGAAGTTACGAATCGCATTTTGTGTCTTGCCTGACCATAAAACTGCTTGTACTCTTTCTGGAAATCACAACATTGGACAACTTGGAGATTCTGAAAATTGCTGAAGTGTGTATTGACAACTTCAAGCAGAGCTGCGCATATCATTGGATTCGTGAGATCGTGGAGAACACGATAAGCAATAGCAAGTAGACTATTGCCGACTAAGGTGTTTACGATCCTAAGACGCAGGTGTAGCTGTGGGCGAAGCTGTTGCTGCCAATGACGCTGCTGCTGCGGGATGAGGCGGCTGCTACGAGGAACGGTCGGCGGCGGGATGCGCGGGTGGCGACGAGGGAATCGTGGCGGCGGAATGAGCGAGCGGCGACGAGGAGGGCGCGGCGGAGGGATGCGCGGGCGGCGACGGGGAAGGCGCGGCGGTGGGATGCGCGGGCGGCGACGAGGAAGGCGCGGCGGCAGGATGCGCGGGCGGCGACGAGCAGGTCGCGGCGGTAGGATGCGGGGGCGGCGATTGTTAGGTCGCGGCGACGGGATGTGCGGGCGGCGACGAGCAGGTCGCGGCAGGAGGTCGCGCGGGCGGCGACTTTAGGTCGCGGCGGCAAGGGGTGCAGGCGGCGACAAGAAGGTCGCGGCGGCGGGATGCGCAGGCGGCGACGCGAAGTCGCGGCGGCGGGTCGTGCAGGCGGCGACGCGAAGTCGCGGCGGCGGGTCGTGCAGGCGGCGGCGCGAAGTCGCGGCGGCGGATCGTGCAGGCGGCGACGAGCGGGTCGCGGCGGCGGGATGCGTAGGCGGCGACGGGGGGTCGCGGCGATGGGGAGTGCAGGCGGCGACGCGAGGTCGCGGCGGCGGGACAGGAGGCGACGACGGGGCGTCGCGGCGGCGGGATGCGCAGGCGGCGCCGAGGAAGGCGCGGCGGCGGTGGGGGGAGGCGGCGACGCGACGTCGCGGCCGCGGGAGGGGCAGGCGACGACGGGGCGTCGCGGCGGAGGGATGCGCGGGCGACGCCGAAGTAGGCGCGGCGGCGGGAGGGAGACGGCGACGGGGGGTCGCGGCAGGGGGAGGAGGAGGCGACGACGAGGCGTCGCGGCGGGATGTGCAGGCGGCGCCAGAGAAGGCGCGGCGGCGGAAAAAAGGGGGAGGGGGGGGGGGGGGGGGGGGGGGGGGGGGGGTGCAGCGACGGTGTGTCGCGGCGACGGGGGGCGGTGATGCACTCGCGGCGGTGGGATCCGCAGGCGAGGAGGGCGCAATCACGGCGGAGGGAGGGGAGGGCGGCGACGACGTAGGTCGTGCCAAGGAGATGCTAGGTTGAGCCACACGTAGGGGGTTTGTGGCTGTGGGGTGGGCCCATGGGGAAGAAAAAACTTTGAGGGAGGGAGAGAAAAGGCTTAGGAACAACTAGCTCTATACCATGTGAAGATTGTGAATTGAACAAGTTATTAGATTAGAGGAACAACCTAGCATACATAGTTGGAAGGGAAGGTTGGAAGGGAAGGATGAAAGTGACCATAGGTTGGGTTGACCTCACTTGCGGAAGTGAGGGAACCATAGGTCAAGTGGGTTGGGTTGCCCACACTTTGTAGAAGTGAGGCAACCCTAGGCCCACTTGGCTTGGGGTAACCTCAATTGTGGGAAGTGAGGTACCCACAAGTCAAGAGGGTTGCATTTGGGGGCTCCACCACAATTGGGTGGATTGGCACCCCAAAGTGCAAGACTACACCCAAAGTTGGGTGTAGTCCCAACCCAACTGTACACCACAATTGGTGTACAGTCACATGTGTTGGCATGCTACACAATATATATTTTAACAATTGAATCTCTCTGGGTATCTCCCCTGTGGCGTTGGTGAGCTGAGATACTCTTCTGCATTTATGCACACGTAGTCAGAAAAAGTGAGTGCACTATCATTGCCAGTTGCGAGCTGGTACAGGCCACCTCTCACATGGTGACATGCAGACTAAAGAAAAAAAAAAAAAACAGGATGCGACCGCGGTGTGGTGCGATCTTATTGCACTGCAATGCTGCTTACAGTTGCTGAAGGCTTCTCAGGCGAGAAAGAACGTGCAGGGAGGACAGGTCCCCTGTGAATGCTGCCAAGTTCACTAGACTCCTAGGTGATGAGAGGGAAGTGCGGTCGGATAAAGCCATGGGTGTCAATTTGAAGACGAGGACAATTTGAAAAGCAGAGTGACATTGACATCAATTGCTTGCAGGACTATTACCATGACTTGTAGGGAGAACAGATTGAGTACTGTCTTTGCAATTCGTACTGTGTTCGCAGGGCGTACAGTGTTTGCAGGTTGGTGAGGGAGGAGAGCCAAGAGAGGCCGTCCAGAGTACCAGTCAGACCGCTGCCAGGCGTGCCAACGGCTCTGAGTGCACACGTGGCATGGCATGCATGCAGCAATAGAACGTATGCAGGGTGCACATGGCACATTCAGTGGGAAATAGGAACACATCCCACACACAGTGGTGCAGGTTTATTGGAAAAATATATTTCATAGTTCAAATGAGCAACAAGGGCTACTGGCAATGAGAGGCGTGCAAAAAGGGCCAGGAAATGGCAAAGCACAAGGTGAATTCGTTGGCTTGAAGGACCAAATGGGTCCTGTCTTGAGAATTGGCTGGGAGCAGGGATCGAGCTGGAGAGAGCACGATGTGAGGTTGCAGAGGGGTGAAGGGGGGTCGTGGATGGGCATATTGTACGCCTGGCCAGGCAGTAAGCCGCCCTGGTTTGGTTCGGAGCCATGGAAGAGCAGCACGAACAGGCGGGTGAGGCTGGTGAGACTTGCGAGGGATGGCAGGGGCCCCTCCAGGAAAGTGTAGGACAGATCCCTGTGAGATGGAAGAACAGGAAGAACCATGGAGCCTTGAGACTTCGGCTTTGAAGGGTTACAGCTTGTGGTTCGGCTAGTGCATAAGGGAGGCATGCAAGAACAGGTTATGGCCAGTTGTGGCATGTGGAATGTAAGAATGACATGGAAGGACGGATCATAATGAGGTTGGGGCATGGCAAACGAAGGCGAGGCATGGTGCATGCAAGATGGGCTTGACTGGGTAAGGAGAGGGTGTTGACGGACAGGTTTTGCAGACTGGAGAGACTGGTGATGGAGGCAGGTATGGAGCCACTAGGAATAGGATCCGCGTTGATTGGCTTTGAAACCCTGCCAATACGCAAACAATAACGGCTCCCATTCCTCACACCCCCCTTCCCTCCCCGTACCCATTCCTCCCCCATCCCACCACTCCACATCCTCCAGTTTCAGCCCATTCCCCTCCCCGTACACCAAGGATTAGAAATACGGTCGTTTTTTTGAAAAGTTGCGGTAAAAAACAGTTTCGTATAATAGGCTCCTGTGAGAAATCGTAGAGCAAATTAAAAAAAGCAACCGTATTTTTGAACCTTGCCGTACACACATAATATCCAGCCCATTCGGAATTGGTACAAGATCACTGCAAGCAGCTAATGGAAGGGCAAAAGAGGGATTCTCACTGGTGGCAAGGAAGCACAAAAGGCCAATGAGGGGTAAAGAGAAAAACCAAGGGGTGGGTGATATAACGCCCGGTGCCTTAGACCGGGCTGGGCTAATCAGGAGCTATCAGAGGCGCATCAGTTACATTTTGAAGGAGTTACACCCGTCAGTCCCGCCCTGGTGCTGGGCATGAGCACCTGCTCGAACCAGACCAGGCCAGCAAAGAAAGGCAGGCGGAGGTTCGGCCCGTCCCGGGCAGGCCAGGCTGTTCCCCGGCCAGGTTCGCCCGTTAAAAGGGCGGGCCGAGGTTGGGGCGAGGTTCACATTTATCGACACTGGCGTCCGCTCGTGGCAGGAAATGGATATGAACCCAGGCTCTGCATCCTATTACAATGGCCCATGCCCAAGACGACCAAATGGGCCGAAACGAGGTTATTTAGATGAGCTGCTATAACAGGTACTCAGACCAACAAGGGGCAATTAGGGGTAACGAGGATAACGAGGCAGCGAGTGTCGGGAATGAGACTCACAGAGCAACGACGAGCCCTTTGGGGCTGCAGGTGATGGCATCCCATGCAATGCAGTGCACGCAATGAGACTCACCGCACCTTCACTGCCAGTCGCAATGAGACTCACAGGGAAACGACGAGCCCTTTGGGGCTGCAGGTGACGCCCTCCCATGCAGAGCACAATGTGGTGGCGTTGCTGTTGCCCACCCACTTGCCCCACGCCACCTTCAGCTGCAGCAGCACCTTCACTGCCGGCACAGCAGGGAAATGGGAGCACATTTTACCGCAAATAAGGACGGCGGCTTCACTGCCGGCACATGCGCTGAGTCGGTGACGTCGCACTTTTGAAGGGCAGCCCGGGAGCGCGCAATTTCTCTCTCTCATGAGAAGTGGAGCTCTGAGGCTGTGTATAACACCTCGCTACCCATTGGGTGAAAACGAGGGTGTTATTTGGCACAGCGGATTGACCTTACACTAGCCCACAGGCGTCACTCTGAGTGCGGACTCTGGACTCCCATTCGAAATGAGAGGATACGCGTGAGAAAGCTCGCTGAGAGCCTCTGAACTGGACAAACCGACTTACATTGCGAGTTTTCAAGAACGGTTTCAGCGCTCACGTCGGCCCCGGCAGCGCCGCCGGTAGCGGCGAGCTTCAAAAGAGAGCGTCGAGCGCGACTGGGCCGAGCGCGAGGCAGCAGGCGTTGTTTGGACGGACGTGGGGCATCTCGGCGCGGCAGAGGGCGATTAGCGCCGCCGCTGGAAACGGAGCACGCAGCGGCGCCTGCGGCAGTGAGCGCGAGGGCTACCGAGAGGAGAATGCAAGCTGCGACATTTGTGGAGCGAGGCCACGCGACAGGCCGGTGAGAACGAATTTTAGGCATGGTACTGCGCATGATTCAGGCTTGTACTAGTAGTAATTGTTATGACTAGCAAACCATAACTAAACAAACTGGTAACGGATACGGCCCGTTTGTAAATCATTGGAGTGATGGATTCTTGAGAGGGAGGGATAAACAAAGTAATGCCAGTCTCTCAAGATTAGGTTAGGTCAGGTGGTCAGCTCGAAGCGTGTGGTATGCGGACAGGGGTATCCAGGAACAAGAGCCGGCATTTGGAATCGCATTGAGTTAGCACACGGCTTGGGGTCACCAGGCAGTCGATAAGGGCTATGTTTCCGTTTGAAGGAGCTCCCCTAATGTCAGGGTGATTGTGTGGGCCAGAAAAAGTCATGTGTACATACACAATCGGTCAAGTATAAAAGCACCTGAGCATCTTACAATACGCAACCAGCTCCGCCCACCAACTGCCAAACGCAGCAGTGGGTCGGTCCACAAATCACATGGCACCCTGTTTTGCAACAATGTACCGTATGTGCTGTAGTGGCGAGCGCTGCTGATGCATGGGTGCAATGCATAATAAACAAACTGCATCTATTGTATTCAAGTTCATATTCAAATATAACCTACCGTACGAAACTCATGTACTACTGTAATTACGTATGACTACTGCTCAATGCGACAGCCTAGGTGTGCGTTTGCTAGTTAGCCTAACTTGTTTAGCCTGACTTAGGCACAAGCCCAAGCACACTAGCTCCGATAAATCGTGGCTTGGCCTATCCTCGCGGGAACCGAGTCCTTATCCAGACTACTACACCCAAATATATCCAACCACTTGAGCCCCGTAAGGAGGGTGATTGACCCCGGCAGTGCCAGCAGCCCCTCACAGTCCCTCAAATCCAACTCCCTTAGCCTCGGCAAATAGCCGATATCGCATGGAAGGCTTTTCAGCTGGATGCAGCCCTTGAGGTAAAGCCCTTCCAGGCGAACGAGAGAGGAGAGGGAGGGGGGGAGGGAGGTGAGGGAGATGCACTCTTGGAGGTTGAGGGAGCGGAGGTGGGAGAGGGAGGAGAGGCGTGGCGGGAGGGCAGAGAGGGAGGAGCAGAAGGCGAGGTGGAGGCGGTTGAGGGAGGAGAGAGAGGAGAGGGAGGCGGGGAGAGAGGCGAGGGAGAGGCAGGAATCTAACTGCAGGTCTCTCAGGTTGGTGAGGTGGAGGAAGAAAGAACCGTTGGGGGCAGTGGAAGAAGGGGCTATGGCGGAGGAGGACGAGGAGGAGGCATAACCACAGCAGCCAGAGCCGCTACCAGCAGCAACGGCACCACAAGGGAGGTCAGGCAGGGAGGCGAGCTTGAGGGATCCGGTGAGGCAGAGGCGGGTGAGGCGGGAGAGGGAGGCGAGGGAGGGCGGCAGGGCGGAGAGGGAGTCAAAGCCGCTCACCTCCAGCTCCCTCAGCTGCGCCAGCTGGCCCATGCCGGGGGGGAGAGCGAGGGGGGTTGAGGGGAGGAAGGACGAGAAGGGCTCGTGGGTAGCGGAAGGAGGGTCGGTTGGACTGGATGGGACAAGGGCAGGTAAGGAATCGTGTGAGAGAGGTGTGTGTGAGGGGGGATGTGGGTGCGGGTGGTTGTGCTGCTGAGGGTGTGACTGTGTTGTAATGAATCCGTTGCTGGCTCCATTGCAGCTGCTGCTTGTGCTCGTGTTGTTGCAGTTACCCCTGTAGTTACTGCTGTCCCCGCTGCTGCCACTGCTGCTGCTGCTGCTATCTGCCATAGTGCCATCCCTCGCCGGTGACAGACAGGTTGGGATGCTGTGTGGCCTTCCTGCTTCCCCCTTTTCACCTCCACCACCACCACTACCGACAGCAGCGGCTTTGCTAACAGCAGCAGCAGCAGCAGAAGTAGCACTAGTGCTAGTGGCAGCAGCAGCACTAGTGCCAGCAGTCACTGCACCACCAGAGCCCTTAAAGCTGTTGCCACTGCTTGCTAGTGTTGCAACCATGGTACCACCGCCTATACTGCCACTATCTTGAGTGCTCCAACCGCCTGCAGCTCCTTCCTTGGTTGTAGCACACCCGTGTCCACTCCCGCTGCTGCTGCCACCATTCATGTTACCATCTGCGTCCACCCCCATCCCCTCGCCCACCTCACCCCCTATCCCCACCTCCACTCCAGCCCCCACGCCGCTCCCACTACACCCATTACTCACTACAATCAGCCTCTCCAGCCGCCCCAAGCACGCCAGCGACGGCGGCAGCAGCACCGTTCTGCACCCATCCAGCCTCAGCTCCCTCAAGCCCTGCATCTGAGCCACGTTCCCCGGCGCCCATTGTAACGCGGTGCACCTGGTTACCACCAGCCGCTCTAGGGCCCCCAGGGCAGTCATGGACGCGGGGAGGGCGCGCAGGGACGTGCAGCCAATGAGAACAAGGGCGCGGAGGCGGGGGGAGGTGCGAGGGGGGAGCGAGGAGGAAGGGGGATGAGGGAATTTGGTCATGAGAGTGAGACGGCTGAGTTCGTCAGTGAGAGTGGTTGGGAGCGGTGCTGATCCGGCTGCTGCTGCTGCATCCAACCCAACTACCTGACCCTGCTCTTGCCTCTGCTGCCCCTGCTGTCCCTGCTCCCCCCCCTTCTGCTCCTGCCGTTGCTCACCTTCCCCTTTTATTTCTGATCCTGCGTGCACAAATTGTCCTCCCCCCTCCCACCCTCCCTCCTTTCCAGCCGCTCCCCCGCCCTCTCCGTCCGGCAGCCGAAGGGCCACCAGCTCGCAGCACTCCTCCACCACCAGCCGCTCCAGCCGCGTCATCGCGCGCATCGCTATAGGCAGACTCGTTAACCCCTTACAGTGCCGCAGCTGCAGCTCTTTCAAACGGGTCAGCGCGCCGACGGATTCGGGCAGGCTCGGCGAGCAGGACAGCCCCAGAACGAGTTTTTCCAGCTGCCCGAGACTCGTTACTGGATCGGGCAGGCCTAAAAGATTGTCGATGTCTTCTAATTGAAGCTCTAGCAGACAGGTCAGCTGGTCTAGGGTTTCGGGCAGAGAGGAAAGATTAGGGAGCGAGGCGAGGCGCAGGGTTTTAAGAACGGATAGACGGCCTAGATCGTCCGGGAGGGATTCTAGACGCGTGCAGTCCGAAACTTCCAGGAACTGGAGCTGGGCTAGGTCGGGCAGGGAGGGCGGGAGGCCTACGAGGCGATGGCACTTGCTGATTTCCAATTCGCGCAAGAGTGGTAACTGCCCGATGTCTTCGGGCAGCAGCGTAAGGTTACCGCATCGGCTTATAACGAGTCGTTCGAGCGAGTGCAGTTGCGGCAGCGAACCGGGCAGTTCGAGCAAACCTCCGCAGCCGTCCAGTTCGAGCACGCGCAGGCAGGGAAGCTGCCCGAGATCGTCGGGCAGCGACGTGAGCCAGTAGCAGGAGCTTATAACGAGGACGTCGAGCAGCTGCAGGTCAGAGAACGAATCAGGCAACTGCTCAAGGTTATCAGATTTCTCGATGCGCAAATGCGTGAGACTCGCGAGGTCGCCCAGAGAGTCCGGCAGGCACGGCAGCGCGTTGCACGACAGCAGCCGCAAATCAAGGAGCGTACTTAATTTCCCCCGGAAGACTTCCGGGAAGAGTTTTAAGCTCGGCGCTTCGAGCTGCAGCCGGCGCAGCGCGGAAAGATCGAGGAGCGACGCGGGGAGTGCTTTGATGTTCGGCGCGCAGTGCACGCTCACGTGCTCGAGCCGCCGGCATCCGCGAAACACGCTCGCGAGGCCCGCCTCGCTCACCGCGTCGACGAGCGGCGGCCGAACCGGCAACCGAACCTTGCCGAGGAAGAGGTACGTCAGGTTCGGGCATGCTGAGCCTAGGACGCGCAGGAAACGATCGTCGATGAAGTCGATCGTGTGGCTGTCGAGGTGCAGGCGATTCAGGTTCGGAAACTTGCGCAGCGCTAGCTCGAGCCGGCGACAGAGGAGCTCGCGTTTGGGGGAAAAGGAGGCGGCGGGGGAGGCGGCGGAAGACGCGGAGAGGACTGTGAGGGAGGTGAGCGCGAGAGGCGCCACGCGGGACCAGCGCTTGCAGACGAGAGCCGCCTGGTAGGACGGGCGAGAATCGCCGGTGCTTGTATCGGATGTGCTTGTATCGGATGCGGTGGGGTTGGCGGAGAGGACTAGGCGGAGGATGGAGGTAAGAAGATCGTCGGATAGCGAATGGATTGGCGAGGCGGAATCGTCGCCGGGAGACTCGGCGACGACGGGCGACGAGCGAGAATCCATCGCCCGGAAAATTCGGCGTCGCTCGGCTAATGGGGCGTCGCTCGGCTAATGGGGCGTCGCCCAGCTAAATGGGGCGCCAAGGGCGTCGCTTGGCCCGCTCGCTAGTGGCAATATGCGCAAGCCTGGGCAACGCGAGAGGCGAGAGGCGGAAAGCAAGACGATGCTTGCGTTTACAAAACGACTTACTTAGCGTCGCGCGCACTTGCGGAAATTATAGGCTATCTGATGGGCCCTAACTGGGCCATGATGAATGGGAATGGAACGTAGAGCTGTCAGTTGCATATCTGTACGGCTGTACCGAGCAGGTGTGTGTGAAGTGAAGCCACACAACGGCCAGCAGCAATCCGCAGCGTCGCAGCGGCAGAGGAAGCAAGCGGGGAGGGTGGGAGAGGGATGAGGGGGGAGGTATGGGCGGGGAGGTTGGGGAGAGGTGGGGGGGGAGGTTGGGCGGAGAGGTTGGTTGGTGGATGGGGTACCAAGCAGTGGTGGCGCCGGGTTCTCGATACGGTAGCTTCGACAAAAGGTGTGAGTCCGGGCTTGACCTTTCCAATGCCGAATCGATCCACCAGTTTCTACATATGCGCCAGCTAAGATAGAAAGATGTACTGGCGGTAACATTTCAAAAGCTCGGTACGTGCATTTATCCCTCATTCGCGAAAGCTGTTACAGTTCTTGTTCGCCTCTCGCTCCGCGCCCTCCACATCTGTCCCTTTCCTGTCACTCCATACCTCAGCGATAGCCTCTCGCATTCCTCGCTCCGAGCAAAGAGTCTTCACAGCCTCGATCTCATTCCTTCTCTGTTATCTTGTCGCTCCTTCCCCGTTAACCTCTCCCATTATTCTCGCCGCACGCGTTAGGCTGTCGCATTTCTGTCGCTCGAAGTCGCCCACTGTCGCCACGCGCATGCGGTCGTCGCTGGCGCGTTTCTCCGCGCCCCGCGTGCCGCCAGCCGTGGCGAGGGCGCTGCTGGGGGCGGCGTGGGTGGCGGGATGGGCGGGGCTGTGCGCGTGGGTGGTGTGGTTCGCGCACTCTCAGGCCGCCAATCCGCGGCAGGACATCGGAAAAATCCCTGGTTAGCCAAACACTGCCCCAAGGGATTTGCCAGTGAGCCCTCTGAGGGGGGGGGGGGGCAAATGGAAACCATAGGTTTCCTGCTAGTTGTGTCGGTGGAACTAGAAAATCTCGAAACTGACGACTGATCGATTAGTTCCGGTCTTTTTCAACCATTCATCGGGCTGACTGTAACAGACGAGGTTCGACAGTTTAGGGTGTGGTCGGAGTTGAGCTGGTTTGGATGAGACACAGCCGTGAATTGTGCCACGTACTCTCCCTTCGGCACGTTGCATTGTTTGTTCATTTTGCGCGGTTTTGTGGGTGCAGTCGCGGATGTCGCGATCTGGTTACTGGTTTCCCATTTCGTCACATGTGGCATGTGCCTTGTCCTGTAGTGTTGGTACATCGCGGTTTCTTTCCGAAATCCGTGCTTCTCTGTTTATTATGTTGACGGTATTGTTCGGCTCGTATACAGTGTGTGCATGGTTTCCTTACATTATGAATTTGTTATATGCTTATAGGGAGTTTATTTGATGTAACATTATAGAAGGTACGCATTGGGGTCTTCATGTGTTCTGATTTTTCGTTTTGGTTAATTTTTTTGAATGATACTTTGCTATTATTGTAATGGTTGAATTTCGATTTATGGGTTTCGGCGCTCAGTCATTAGGCCTTCTATTATTGTTGTCTGTATTTATATGATTACAAATTAAGACTGATCACTTTGCGTAAATGTTTTTAGCTCATACGCCATTTATTGTTATGCATGTGTTTTTGCAGTATTGTATGGGATACTTATAGTGGTTTAACTATAACGGTTGTTTCTAGGCATCCAGCCTTTGGTATGCATCGCGTCCGTTGTTTTGTCGTACACGACCAGGTTGATTACGTTGGTTGACACGTGTGTTTCCCGCCACAGTTCGGTCAATGCAGTTTTGTGTCGATGCGAATTATTTGCGAGTCGCGCAAATTCGCATACAGGTTATTTGGCGCGTCCTCACTCGTTCGCCTACGTATGACCAGCCGTGTCGCTTCGTAACATTCAGGTTTGGTCGCGGGTCAATTTGAAGTGTTCCCGTGTTGGTTTTTGCGTGGGTAGCCCGTGTGCTTGGAGTGATGTTTAGCTGAGAAACCGATGAATTGAATTTGTTGGTGCACTATCGCAACTCCCACCGAATTGATTTCCCTAACGTGCCTCTGTATTACGGTGGATGACTTTTCATACGACACCCCTGTCCGTTCTTAGCAAGGGGTCGTTTTAGTTTGTAGCCCTGAGGTTAACGCTGTGTTTGGAATCAGCCCTTCGGGTTAAGGGCAAAATTTTAGACACCACAGACTCCCACGCCCTGGCCCCAACCCCAAACATATCGCCCTGGCTCCCACGCCACAGGGGGCAATCAACTCTGCCCTCATTTCTGCTCGACGTCTTGTGTCTGGATTTCCGATTTCTGAATTCGTGCATTTCCGCTGTCATATGCAACAGATCCTTGCGCTTACCTGCGATTTTAGTATCAGACTTGGGGTTAGGCGTCACATGCGGCCCCTGCTGGCGGCTAATCCGCGAGATTGTTCCGAGATTGCGGCAGAGTCACCTTGAAGTGGCCATCTCACAAGGTGAGATACTTGGCTACATTGTACCGTCGCCTTTGTTTTCCCGCGTCGCCCACTCCTTCTCCCGTCGCTCTCGCTTTCGGCCGCCGGCCACTCCTGCTCCCGTCGCCCTCGCTTGCCCCCGACACACACTCCTTCCCCCGTCGCCGTCGCGTTACCTCGTCACCCTCCATTTCCCCCGTCGTCCTTGGTTTCCTCGTCGCTCTCGCGTTCGGTCACAGGTCGCGCACTCCTCGTTGATCAGGTTCCCCGGTCGCCATTGCTTTCCCTCGTCGCCCACTCCTTTCCCCATCGCCCTCGCTTTCCCCCTCCACACTCCCCTTAGCCCGTCGCCCTCGCTTTCCCCCGTCACCCACTCCTTCCCCCGTCGCCCTCGCTTTCCCCCATCGCCCGCTCCTTTCCCCCTCGCCATCCCTTTCCCCCGACGCGTTTCCTGGACCCCCGCTTGTGCCTTCCCC